AAATAAAAAATTTTGACGTTGGTGATCAAAATGTTAACAAGAGTAAATGTTCAAAAATAAAAAATGAAAGTCGACAAAAATTTAAGAACTAAACTTAGTAAAAAAATTTGTTCCAACCTAAAAATAAAAATGGATAAAAGTTCAACACTAAAAGCATATTTAATTTTTCGACTAATAAAAAGGATATAGCTGATTTCGTACTTTCTATTGTGTATTTTTTTTTTAAACTTTGACATTCTATGGATGATCATTTGTCAACAAAAAAACATAGTCAAATATAATTTTGTTTTCATAATTTTTGTAATAATATTATTAGTCTAAAATATGTAATTAATCTTTGACAGAGAGTTGACTAACACTTTTAATGAAAGCTTCTATCACGATTACATTTTTCTTTATTACACAAGATTTAAATTTGAAATCATGTTTAAAAGAACCGAGTCCAATTTTACTAGAATAAATGATTTGTTGAATAACATCTTAGAGTGGAGTTACCACTAAATGATAAATAACAAACATTTAAAAATTCCTTCTTAACTTCACAAACATAACAAAGAACTTCAATTTTTTTTTTTTAATGAAGCAAATAACTTCACTTATAATTGTTATCCACTTAAAGTAAATGTTTAGAGAAATATACATGTAAGGAATTAAAACATGTTTAAGTATTTTGTTTTTACTATGTGAATCAATTTGGTAGATTTTCTTTAAATTAAATTGTGAGTTCATAAATAATAATAATAAAAAAAACAACCTTATTATGTTTGTAAAATGGATCCTAAGCCATAAAAATGGACACAATTTTAGCTTGAATCCTTCGTGAGTCAACATGTAAATTTAACAATTTGCTCCTAAAGTTTCTTGATTTCCAATGTCCACAAACTATTAATTCTTTTCTATCTTCCAAATGATGGGTGCTTTTTTCATCATTATCTTGGTTGAGTTGAGAATAATTAAGGTATTAAACTTTTTTTTTTCACCGCTCACATTTTGTTCTTGGAATATCCTTCAAGAGATTATACACTTGAGAAATATAGTTAGCTCAAATTCATAATTCATCATTTTAGAATGCATAATTTAGTAATGAGAAATACTAACAATATACTTTACAATATATTTTTTAACATGCTTTTTATTATTTATTAAAAATTATAAAATTATTAAAAATATTGGTGATGAAGGTTCAACAACAAAGGGAAAAATAACTTAGAGAAAGTGCAACTTTCCAAGGAGTGTGTGAAGTAGTAAGATTTGGATTCAATTTACCTTCACCTATATCTACAAAAAATGGATGCAATAGGTGTAATGCTGAATCCCTTTAAGATACATTGAAGTTCCTTGATTTGGTTGACACACCTACAATCAAGTTTATCAACAATGATAGTTTACAGAACAACAATTTTCTTATTTTTTTTCTATGCACTAGATAAAAAAAAAAAAAAATTTACGTCCAAAGATTTAATTAATATTTTTACCATGCATATTGATTTTATATATAGCCTATCTCATACTTTTTGATTAAGAGATTCTTCATAAAGATACATCTTATCTTATACCTTTTTGTTAAAGGGTGCAATAAGAGACAAACCCTTTTGTGAAAGAACACAATATTTCATACTTACATTTTTTGTGAATAAATACACATTTTCATGAAAGGATATGATGACCTTTAATTTATTTGAAAATCTCTCACGTTCTTCCGCCATTTTCAAAATACATCCAAATCTCATTATTCTAGAAGTCGCATAGTTTTAGATAAAGTTATCTTGCACTTTGAACGTTGACTTAGTAAGTCACCATTTCATTCATCCCAAATAAAGTAGTACACAAACTTTAACTAAATATTCATTACAATAAGTTTACATAACTTACATAAGATATTTCAATAACATCTAATGAATTATTAAAGTAATACATTTGATTGGATCTCGTCATGTGTTGTATCTTTTTCACAAGAGCTTTAAGAATCAAGCCCTTAACTCCAAGAGGCAACCTAACTTTATTCCTGCATATGTAGATTTTATTAGAAGTGCACCCATAATAAGCACTTCAACACATACGCACTCCAAGTTTATTAAGAACAAATGTGTAATCTTCAACCATTATTTCCTTATGGTTCAAGTACTTGCAATCATTATAATATTGTACTTTTGATATTAAACTTAAGACTCGACCTTGCTTAAGTAAGTCAAATTTTAATAATTAGTAATCAATTAGATATGGACTTGAGTCTCATCCTTAATAATTTTTACACACCATATCCTTTGTTAATCTTTTCATCAAAGTATCTACAAGATTTCTTTCTAATTAGATCTTTCACGTATCTGTCAGTTGTCTAAGTCTAATGTGTTTGAACTTTCCATTATATATTTGACTATATAGGATATACCATTGATAGTGTTGATAGACTATCATTATGTATGGTTGTTGAGGCTATTGATTTTGGCTAACTTGACATCTCATACAACAAATTTCCTTATCATTTTGCCCCTACACTACCTACTGCCGATGCTATGAATTATGCAATCACAGTGGAATTAACGATGCAAGTTTGTTTCTTGGAGTCCTAAGATATAGCACCTCCACTAGAGTGAACTAAGTTATTGAAGAATAGTCTTTTGTATGCGTTTGTATATCCTTCTATAAGTGATAATTAGTGTCATTCAAAAATAATCATCCTACATGTATTTACCTCTAACATTCAAGTAAGTGAAACATCTTGATTCAAATAGTTTTGATGTCATTCTAATGAGGAACAATAGTGCAAACAAATCTATTAGTTATAACTCAAAATCTAATATATCATTTGTATGAATCGGATAATCTTTCATTTGTTCAGTTTTATAAGTTCAGTCTGTCTCCATTAACCTTATAGGTTTAGATTATATATAATTTATTCTTATTAATATGATGGATCCAGTCTGCCCTATTTTATAAAATTTAATTTTAATATCTTAGATCTATATATACATACATGTGTATGTGCTTGAGGATCTTTTCTAAGGTGAGAGTGGACTGCTAAATGCGGGCATGAAAGAGTGAGAACGTAAAGTGTAGAAGCTTTGAAGGAGGTATATAGAGAGAAAAGTAGAACTTATTAGAAAAATTAAGAAGTCTTTAAGAACAGCAAAAAGTTGCTTTATTGTACAAATATGTTCTTATTTTCAAAAAGCGAAATATACTCTCTTTCAAATTGATTCAATTATATAAATCTATTGTGTTTTTATCTCTCAATATTTTTCATTTTAATGTTGCGTTTTTTTTCTTCTACATTTACGTTTTACTTTCTTATTGTGTATTCTTATTTTTTGTGTTTTTGTTTTGTTATTACATATTACATAAGGTTTGTTCTTAGTGGCTTTCTTTCTTATTTTAGAACCAAACGAAAAACAATAAGTAAAAATAAATTTCCTAACTTGCAAGAACTTGTGAGAAGTAATAATGAATATATGACATCAACTATAACACTGCAAATAGACAATAGTCACAAAGATTTTTAATGCGAAAAACTCTCTCAGAGGTAAAACTCACAAATTAAGCACAAGCAATCAATTAAGTTCCCGTGTTTCACTGATTAAAATTTGCGTACGTATACTAGAAAGTTTCAAATGAGTGCACAGACTATGTTCAGTAGCCAAATGAAACATCTAAAGTAACAAATTTATAAATATATGATCAAGAAGATGAAAGAAAAAGAAAAATTGTATACAAAATATATCTCACCGTAGATAATTAATCAACGATCCGATTGGTCAGACTGAGGAATCACATACCCTGAACCTATAGAAAAAATGTGTCTCCTTAGGCTAAAAACATGGCACTGACTTAAAAACAAAGGAGACTTTTATCTCAAAAAAAAAAAAACAAAAAAGAGATATGTTGAAATCTATGAGAATATCTATCTTTTCTCCAATTACATCTAAACAGAAAGGTAAAACTACTCACTTCCTTACTACACTTTATGACATTTCCTTTAAGACCTAACTTGGACACTCACCGACACACCCCAACCCAAACACTAACCAAAACTTCCTGATCAGCATAAACACCTCAAATTTTTCCAATACTGACAACATTGAACCCACAGAACTGCCACCAATTCTTGGTCATTCTTCACTACATTAACCAATAACACTGATTGACACAAGTGATAATAACTTGTATCTCTTAACTAAATTTTTCAGGATTCAAATCTCAACCTTAAATATGGAATAAATTATGTTAAGGAAATATTCACCTTGTGCAGATTCACTTGACAGAGATTAGTCACTTGCTTACAGTGATGCATACTTCATACTAATATCATGTTTTTTAAAAAAATCTTGCCGAGGCAAAATACCCTATTGCTAATTTCTATGCTAAACAGGCTATTTCCCCTCACAAAGGTTTTTCTTTGGCTATATCCTCTGCAGTCTGCACAAAGCCCTCATCCTATGCTAATGTTGTTCAACATGAATGTTGGATAGATGCCGTGAATTGTTTTGGAGAGAAATAAAATATGGTCCCTTAACACTCTCCCACCTAACAAAAGGGCCATAGGCTGTAAGTGGGTGTTCAAAGTCAAGCACAATGCTAGTGGCACAGTTGAAAGGTACATGGCAATATTGGTTGCCAAAGGATACACTCAAACGGCTGATATTGATTGCCTGAAAACTTTTAGTCCAGTAGTTAAAAAAAAACAGTTAGTACTTGGAGACTGAAGCAATGGCAGTTCTTAGTTGCAATCAGGTCAGTAATTGCTTAACAATGAAATTAATGTTTTCTATGTAGGAAGCATTGCATTTTTTAGTTTCAGGATACACATAGAATAAATTATAGGAACTAGGATCCTGTTTCCAATAACAATGCATAAGGTTTTGCACTGGAATGTAAAATCTTGAAACTGTAGTTTTCCATTTTTCCCTTGAAAAAGAAAGTTAAAAATTGAAAACAGCCAAAAATGTTTTCAAGTGCAAAATGAAAAACTACGGCTAAATATATGTGATACAATACACTTTCCATAAGACAATAATACTTATATTTGTTTAACTATGATGATAAAGTTTGACATAAATAAAAATTGTGTGGTTGAGATTGCTATAATTCATTTGGCCAACGAGGAAAATACAATTAATTTTTTCTTCTTCTTGTATTGAACAATAAAAAAGCTGAATACCTAATGTGATAATTGGATGACTAAATAGAATCCTTGGGCATAAAACTACATATAAGAAGAGAAAATGTTTTTCCCCCACCATTTCATGACTCTTGAATGCTTCTCTCTTTACATAGAGAAGAGTCTAGTAAAGAAGTTTCCACTTTTGGACCTCTCTAAACATGCTACATGAACATATCTTCCAAACTTGTCCACTTGTCTTGCCTCACCCTTGGTGTCCTTTTTGCACACCTTGCATGTTTTGTCAACCCATCCCTCTTCAACATATGCCCCGTCCACTGCTCAATGGAAAAATAATTTTTCAGTTCTATTACTAATTAATATACACGAAAATGGGTCTTCGGACATTGACCTATGAGCCTCATGAAAAATGCTAATTGATGATAGAATTGAGTAACCAGTGCATTTGTACAGAATTTCATTAACCAAAGAAGAAAATGAAGATTGATGAATGTTGGCTATTTAAAAGGAGACTAATCAATTTTGTTTGAAAGATAAAAGTATATTTTATGCAAGAATTACTAGATTGTACCTTCAACGTAAGATTTGAAAAAATCCTTGTATGTACCACCAATTTTCCTTCTAAGAGCTCCATACTGCATGCATTTTAAGAAGAAAAAAAAAAAAGTTAACAAAACCATAAAGAATAAAGATGCACAATATTTAACATATAATAAACAATACAAGTTGGAAGAGTACAATATACCTGTTCCCTGTTCATCCTTTCTCCAGATTTTGTGGCTTCTCTGGCATCTTCTAGAAGCTGAGCATCCTCTGCGGATCTCACTTGAGAAAAATCAAGAGCTTCAGTCACACTGCTAAACAAGGATTGCTTTTTCTTATTGTCTTCTTGCTTCTCTTGTTTGGCTGAAACTCTGAATTTCATGCTTCTATTGAGCATGCTGCGGTTAGTGGTGTCATGAACATGTCCGGGCTTTGAAGAGAAAGTGCTATAAGAAGGGGTCAATGGTAGAGTCCCAAGTCCCATTTTAGCTTCTCTTGGTACTCACCACCCTGCTTCTCAATTATGCTATATATGTGTGTTTCTGAACAATGCTCCTAATGTTTATATATGTGCTTCTCCGTAGTTTTGGAGCCACGAAATTGTAGCCACACGTGGTTGTCAATTTTGGTGGTTAAAAGTGGACTATGTGGCACCTTAGGGAACTCATAAAACGAGAGGATCTCTCTTATCTTCCGCTTTGCTCCACGTAATTATGTAATTCATGTTCATTATTCACTAAAATATCATGCATAAAGACTACGTAGGATACAGGATGGATTACTAATATTTGCTGGCATTTATTATATGAATTTTAAACGACTATTTTATATTTTAATAACTAAAATCTAACTTATTTCTAAAATTTTAAAGTGCATATCATTTTACCTATATTTTCTCATGTTTGGATTTTTTTTTATAACAAATATTTGTAAAAAAATAACATTTCTTTGTATAATTAAAATTGTTTTATACAAAAGTCAACATCAACCATTAAAAATATTAATTTAATTTATTTATTTTTCTATAAATATTTTTCAAGAACTAAGGCTAGAGAAAGAATGCAATAAAAAAAAATTAATAGTAGAAGTAGTTCATCTTGATTAAATAAGAATTGAAGTTTAACTTCGACGTAAGTTATAATTAGATGTATTAGTTTATAAGTTAATCACCTGTACAATGCTAATGTAAAAATTTTTTACACTGACAACCAATCAAATCTGTTAATAGTATCATGTCATTTACTCATTTAATTAAATTAAAATAAAAATGACACTATTAATAAATCTGATTAGTTACCCGTGTAAAAACTTTTACACTGGCAGTGTATAGGTAATTAACTCTTAGTTTATTCTTATAATATATTTGAATTTTGAATTTTTGCCCCCTTTCTTGTGCCAATTTGCAATACTTAACGGGCCTCATTTTTTTTTATTTTTGCAAGTGCTTTTATTAGTGGATCTTTTCTTCATTCTCACAAAATATGGCCAAGATAAAGTTTGGCGACGCGTTTATGTTTGTTCAACGCTCTTATTTCCTTTAACATTACTTAATCCATGCGTGATGTATTGGGTAGGGGTCCATTTCGTGGTGATTATATTTGTTCTTAGTCTAATAGCTCCATAGAATCTGCACTTCACACATTGAAAAGTTAAAAAAAAAAAAAAAAAAAATCCAACGTTTTAGCCATTACAGAGCCTCCTAATCCTACAATTTCCAAAATATCTTAAGTTGTATCGAGGAAAGGGAATGGTAGTATGGTACTATACGTATATATAAATTACCCTAAAAAAGAACAGAAAAAAAGAATGAAAGCATTCTATGTAAATTGCGTTACATTTTAAGGGCAGAGCCACTCTCACAGTCACATTCACAAAATCCTTTGGAAACTGCACACTGCTTTGGCATTGAAGCCTATATCTCTCTATGAAAAACATGACAAAAAAGAAAGCTAATTACAAGTTAGATATTCTACACAATGTAAACCATGCCAACCTCCAAAAGAGAAACTGGGGGAACCTTAAGTGCCACATCTGGGCCTCTACAATTTCTTCTCAGGAAATTGTAGCCATAGTTAAGTGCCAATTTCTTTAGGACAGATGAGCCTTGCTTTGCTCTTACATGAGAATGTCCAAGAATGAAGGCAATCCCAGCTTCTTGAGCTGCATAAAGATCTTCCAGCTCTTCCTGCATTTGCACTCCTACCTCAGACCTTGCATCACTTTCAGGCTCATCATCAATAGCAAACCTCACTCTCCTCTCAGTCACATCCATTGGTTCCATCTCAATCACATCACTCACGCTGTGAACTGTAGGGAAGCCAACAGATACACTTGCTTGCTGCACACTCTCCCCACCACTCTCATATCCTGGCTGGATGGAGAAACCAGTTGTTCCAATCACAGTTAGTCTGTGACTTGATGATTCATTAGAGTGTGACGCATCATCTTCAATGCTCATGCTACTCCTCCTAGACCGGTACCAATCATACTGGATGAAATCAGCAAGCCTTGCTACTAGTTCAGACTCAAAGGAATCAACATCCTGATGAACATCACGGTATCCATATCGGACTATGCACCGGTAGGACCGATGAGCTGAAGGTCCGACACGGCCTACTAGATACCTCTCAGCAGCAGGGACATGAGGGACAGGCACTGACTTCACACACACGAAAACAAGGATGCGGTGGTATGCAGGGAGGTTGGTGACAAAGCGGGAGAAGTTTGCTGGGATGCCAGTGGTTAGGTCAGTGAACACTAGGCCTATTCCTGGGACTCTAGCAATTCCCAAGCTTGGACCTAAGGCTAGAAGCCAATCTAGTGAGACCTTGTTGTGAAGGTCATATTCATATTTTCTGATGGTTGCATAGTGCCAAAGGAACATTATGATCATGAGGAAGAGGGCCAGCAGGATAGGTAACCAGGCACCCTCACAAAACTTTGTGAGTGAAGCTGAGAAATACAGCAGTTCAATAGATCCAAAAAACAGTAGGAAACAAAGGGCTAGAATAGGGGGTTTATGCCAACAAACTATCATTACTAAGGAGGTGAGACATGTTGTTACCAGCATCACGGTCATCACAGCTAACCCTGCACCAATAAAGATTGATTTATATGTCATTTTAATTATTTAACACCAATATACCTTCTCTCTCTGAAATTATTATTATAAGTATCTCCAACTCACTTAGCTGAGTCTTAAAATTTAGAAAGTAAGTATTAAGAGTCAACAATAGGAGGGTAAACCCAAGATCTAGCATCAAAACATGGTAGCGAAAAGAAAACTCCCAGCTTTAACAATAAGGCAAAAATCATGATCCAGTTAATCATGCTTATTGAGTTACCTGAAGCATTTCCCATGTGCTTTGTGTCCCTAAATCCAATGGTCACAGCAATACAGAGGATCATGAGTATCCAATTAATTTCAGGAATGTAGACCTGACCATGTATCTTGTCAGATGTGTGAACAACCTTAACTCTTGGGAAGCAACCTAGAGATTGGCTCTGGTTTATGATAGAAAATGTTCCGCTGATGATTGCTTGGCTTCCCACAACAGAAGCTAGAATAGCTAAGATAAGCACTGGCCACCTCACACTTTCTGCAGCCAAAAACTTGCATAAGGTTTTCTATAATATGCTATTATACCAGTACTTTGAGGAAACTAACGAAGGCATTATGAAGTTATTAATGAGGCTTCCTACTAATTTTAATGACTACAGACTAATAAGTAATTGTCAAGTGAGCTGGGACAATGAATACCTGGAACTGAGACATAGAAACTGATTTGGAGTTCGGAATCATGATGATTTGACAAATAAGCAGCTTGACCCATATATGCCAATATAAGCGCAGGATATACCAGAAAGGTGAATGCAATCTGCACACGACAAATTGTTAGAAGATCTTTCCTTTTTAAATGACCTTTCCCAGGCCTATAAGAGCCTGTCAATATTCCAGGAAAAAAAAAAGGTAGGGAAATAGAAAATGTGACACTATAATTAACCAACCTGAATGGCCATATATGAGAAATGGCCAAGATCAGCAAACATGGCTTCTGAGCCTGCACACAAGATCAATTGGTTATAGTGAAGCAACCATTGATATTTTACAATACTCCATGTGAAACTCAAATCTATTGAGAGCAAAATCTGTTACTTGGTTATAGTGAATGTAAACTAAATTTGTTCACATAAATAACACCATTCTGTTGAATATTTTTAGGGAAATAATGCCAGAGGAGCATCCATAATTGATTAAAAAGTAAATGTGCACATTTAACTTAATCTATGTCCTGATTAAATCAAAGTTTGACTCTGAGGTTGCAGAAAAGACAACTACACAACATATGTCTATATGTAGATAGACACACTTGGAATTTAACGAATATGTAATGTAGGAGTACAGTGCAAGACATTATATGTAACCATATATATGAATTTTCTATGTTTACCTGTTATGCACAACAATATTCCTCCCAAAGACATCCATCCACTTATCCTTGTCTTCTTCAAGAACTTGAACATATAATATGGTGAAAGAGCTTTATATACATGTCGATTCCATTTGAATATATTATATAAACCAAGTGTGCTGATGCACAACAGCCATGCCAATACGATCGGAGCAAAAAGGAATCCCACCCTATGTGTACCATAGTGTTGGAGTGCAAACAAACACACCAGTATGAAGCAAGTGATGGGAATCACAGCATCTGCAAACGCAAAACAATAGACTCAAAACCAGCAAACTAACCATTTCAACTAATATGAATCTGATAAGCTATAAATGAACTCTTTAATCATTGTATTCTAAATTGAAACATTCTATTTGAAACTTTTCTCCCAATTATCTACATGTGACTGTCAAACAAACTTGTTTTCCATATAACTGGAATTGAAATATAGAGAAAGGCCATCAGTGAAACTTACACTGGTGGTGTTTCTTGGACATAGATACCTCAAGACCAGATACTGCTGAGAAAACTACACAAACCAATGGCTAGTCAACAAATTGATAAGAAATTATTTGAAAAAACACGGTTAATATTAGTAAGGTGGAATCTTACCAGAAATAGCTGGGGTAAGTAGTCCATCCCCTATTACCATACAAGTGCCCAGAAGAACCACAATTAGCAGAGCTGTATGCAAGGCCTTGTATTTCTCAAGCACCATCTTCACTCTAGAAGTATCTTTCGCTGGAGGCTCCTCCATCTTATATGTAGAAAGTGCTTCATCAGCATGTTGTCGATTTGGTAGGAGACTAACTTTGGCATGCCTACAAATCAAAGAATATAGAGCAAATGTACCCCCTGCAGAAGCGCACAAGAAATTCATCAACAAGAGCAGAAGCAGCATATATATTGGCTTTTCCCTCATTTGTTAAATTGCTCACCCTCTCCATTATCATCAGCTCGAAGAACCACAAAAACGTATTTGAATAGTGGCACCAATGTCAGAGTCCAGAAGACAAAAGAAAGGGCACCAAAAATCTCCTCGTTGGTCTCTGAATGTTCAATATCTTCCGCAAATGTGCTCGTGTAAACATACAATGGAGAAATGCTCAAGTCCCCATATACCACACCAAGACTTTGGTATGCCAAGATCAGAATGGTCTTCCAAGAGTCCTGAAATGCAATTTAGCATCTGACTCTTTAAGCAATCATTCTAAACTAAAATTTTATGTCCCACCAACGAAATTTTTTCAAAGTTTCCTTTTTTTTTATTTCTTTTTGCCTAGCTTTTCCAAGTTAATGTACTAACCTTTGAGGTGTCCCAACACTTGCTGGATTCAAGATCCATTAGCCTCACTTCTGAATGTTTTCGGTATCAGCTTAAGCACACTGGTAGCTGCAGATCTGCACTGAGCAACAGCACCGACTGTGTTACACAAACGGTGGGAACAAGCACACAGTAACACGAGAATAAAGGAATCTCAGACCAACAATTACAACCACCCATCTTATGTGCCCACAATCAGAGGTGATAGACCAAGGAAGACATTCACTCACTTTTTGGATAATAAACTCACATGACATCCATATCTCTGTCAAATCTCCTTGAAAAGCGAGCACAATTTTTTATTTCCTCAAAAATTATGGAGGACAGAACAAACCGAAAAAGCAATATTCCTAAGGTGATGCTTTTTCTTTAAATCACAAATTCATATTCATATAATATATATATTCAAAGAATGTGGTGCAGAAGAAAAAAGGCCAGAGAGGAAAAAAATAGCATTATAAAATGGAGGGAGTGGAGAAAGAAAAGAATCCACAAGTTGTGTTTAATTAGATACACATGAGCTAGAAGTACAACCACCCAAGCAAAGAAAGAAGCAAGTGCATCTCAATCTCATGCATCTCGTCTCATAATCATTTAAAGAACCTGTTGTATATCATATGCCAGCTTATTTTATGATTTGGCCTTTGGTTCGTTCTTTTAATTTTACCTTATTACAGTCATTTATTTCTCTTTGGTCTGGACCACAGAGGTAATAAAACAAAACACCCCCCGGCTTATGTTGGTAAGTCCAACACGAATGATTAAACCTTAGAGGGAAAGTAAGCACCTTGGGAAATCTGGATTTTGAACTTGAGAGTTTTGGGACAATGATGGAGATGAAGACAGAACAAAAAGAAGCTAATTTCACGGTCCAGTTATTATCATTATCATGAATAGACACATAGCAGGAAGAAAGAAAAACAAGAATACAATGAGCTAACCGTCCCCACGATGTTGACTGAAGGCATGATCACGTGATTAGGCGACAGTTACAAATTCACTGATCACTAGTCCCAATAGCCTATGGCCTACCCCCAAATAAGGCCAATTTGGAGGATCCGTTATCATTTTTGATTCCCCTTCCTTTACCCCTCACATAATTTGTATACCACTACTTCTCTTTTCTTCATGCTGGGTTTTTTATGTCATTTTATTTATTTATTTTATACATAAAGGTAACTCCAAGTCAAAAGTAACCTACAAAATTCATTTAAGTTACCGACAATTTTTTAATACATATACTTTTCACGGAAAAATCAATCATGCAGCATCGTCGACTACATGCTTGAAGAAATTATTATCTGTCGATCATATCGCATCAGGTTAATGATGTTAGTATTTAATTTATTTACTACACGGATCGTGTATGTAGGCAAAGCAACCAAACTTTGGTAGTTCCCCACCCACCTACTCTTTGTAATGCTCAATACTGGACGTTACCAGTTAAAGAAGGGGGATAGACAATTGATGGATTCAAAGAGTTAGGAAAAGGTAGCTAAATAAATAGGCATGTAGAGTGTAGAGTGAAAATTTATATTTGGAAAATGAAGGGATGGACCACAATGGTGCAATGAGCACTGAGCATAAATGGAGTAATTAAAAGCAAGGGCATGTGCATTACTATAAATGCCATTTGGAAGGACCATGATACTACCTGAACAAGTGAACGTGCCTCTCACTTCCTCCACCACCGCCAATGTCCCAGCTTTCTACAATTCCTTTATCAAGCCATTAATGCCCAACCTTTTCCGTCCTTTATAGCTATTACCTTTCTTTGTTGCTCACAATTTGTCCTTTCTCATTTCACCCAAATCAACTTTTTCTCTGTTTAACAAACGTTAGTCTACATACATACTCATATTATATTGAGTAATCTATAATGTAAGCATTCTTTTAGTTTTGAGACATGTCAAATCCTAAGACCCAACTCAAAAACTTTTTTGACAAAAGATAAGTTATATATACTAGCAAATTCCCAAAGTCGTAAAGTTGTGCTCGTGAAAAACATCATTCACTGAACACGTTTATGAATCTAGCTATGCCGTGTTTATGTCATGCTGGGCCGCATGTGCCATGTGGCACGTGGCAATTTATTAAGAGAGTTAGATGCTAATGAATCCATGAAGCGAATTCAACCTCACTCTTGCTTGGGTGCATATGGCACTTGATGCAAAGGGACAGGTACTTCCAATTTGGAACTGCAGAGGATTTTATTATTTTATTTTTAATTTTTGAAGGATGAGGAATGAGACAGTGTTATATGTTGTATATTAAACGAACAAGAGTGGAGGTGGAGGCTGTTAATTTTTCTGTACCAACCGACAGTGACGAATGTCGCTAAATAAACAAGGTGCAGAAAACAAAAATTACTATTATTTTGGTGACCGTGAGAGTGTGGAACGTGCGTAGAATCAACGGAGGGATATTCATTCCCTTTGATAAGCTTGCACACCATGCTGTAAGCCTGTAATGTTGCATATTTAATAGCACCAGTGTAAGAATGTTTTTCTCACTTTCACTTTTTTTTCATATACTTTTCCTGCTATAAAAAGTTGATCAATCCGATGAGTTGATAAAGTCCTTAGGAGATGATTAGATGATGAGTATGTATCCTCTTTAGTACTGAATTTTTTTTGTGAGAGAGATACATACATAGTGATCCAATGGTCATAAAAATTTTTAACACTCAACTGCATTTTTGTGTGAATATCTTTCCTAGAGAAAATTTCTTGTATTGGAGATGATCCACTCTAAGAGATTATCTCTTTAGAGAAAAATTTGTGTTTAACTCTTATTAAAAAAAAAAAAGTGGAGATAAGATTTCTTTATTAGTTCTTATATCCATAAATTCAATTTCTCTTGCATTAATTTCTATCTCATTTTTTTCTTTGCTTTAGATCACATCGTTTATTACACAATGGGATTCTCTGTTTTATAAGTCAGTTCTATCTATAACCCCGTTTTTAGGATTATTTAGAAAATTTTCTTAATTTTTCAACCCTAAAAAGGGAGGTTAATTAGAAATAATTAAAAATGAAAACAGTGCCGCTCCAAAAATAAATATCTTGTTTATAAGCTAAATCCAAAAAAAAATATCTAAATTGGCTTTATAGCAAAAAGTGCAGAAGGGACACACTAGTTCTTAAGAGAAAAGACATGACATGGTCCTTAATAAATTGCACCATAAGTCACAGTCATCTTTCGAGTGGGTTCCGATGCTTCACAAATGCTTACACTAGACACCAGCTAATACTTTATCCAGCATGTAAGTATCTAATAAGCAAAATGAGAAGTCTTTCCAGTGGGTTCCAATGCTTCACAAATGCTCAACCTTTTACCTCTCATTTCCACCCTCCCATGAAGACAATGAGAATTCATTTTCATATCTTTATTTTATAAAATATATATTTTTATTAAGAAAATATGATCTAATTTTATTCACGAGAGTTTTATTTATAAAAAAAATTGTGGTATAATAATTAAATATTAATATTACCTTATTTAAAAAATACGGAAACAAACTCTAAAATAATCAAAATAAATTAAATATAAATATTTGAAACATAAATAAAATATATTTCTATTAAAATTAATGTATGTTTCTAAAGATATTTAGGCATATTTTCAATATTTTTCTTTAACTTAATATCTTTATCATCTAATTTGGGTTTGAATTTTAAAATTTGTCTTCTTTTTTATTTTTTTTTGTATCATTTTCTTCCTTTTTCTTGTAATTTTTGTTGCAATCTTTCTTGAGTAAGATTATCTTAACATTCGTCTCGAACTTCTCTTTTGAAGGCAATTTTTTATCATCTTTATTTTCTTCTTGATCATCAAACTTCTTATGAAGATATCTATCTTTATGCTCTTCACTTTAATATTTATTTATAATTGGTTCATTCACCAAATCTAAAGTAAAAATCTTGCATTTCATATGAATATTGAATAATTTTTTTTGTTTATATCTTTAATCACACAATTTTTATCTTCAAATAATACTTGGTAGTTTTTTTTCAACAACTGAGCAATACTCAACAAATTTTGATTAATATTAGGAACGTATAAAACATTATTAATTTAAAAATTAAATGACTTTTAATAGCAATTGTCCCTTTGCCTTTCCCATTTAGACTTTAGAAATATTAGTTTTGTTGAGTTCTTTAAAAAGTTTTCAGTCATGAGTCATATGATTTATACAATCACTATTAATAAGTCAAACCTTTGAGGTTTTTTTTGTCATAAGACATAGCATTGAGAGTAGTTTTTCTTCTTCCTCTTATTGATTTTCAATAATTTTAGCCTTTTCTTATTACTCATGAAATTTGTATAAATTTTTTACCTGTTCTAATTGCATGCACTTACAACATTTTGCATTAGGCTTTCTTGTTTTTCTCATTATTGTTATCTTCCATTTGGCTAAATATACACCTTCCACAATTCCTTCTATCTCATAAATCTTCTTTGTTCTAATGCTTGCAATACATGTAAAACAAAGTGATCTTACTCAAATCCTTTGTGTTCTGTAAGGCTATTATTGAAGCTTCATATGTATCGAATATAGTTACTAGAATTTTTTCAACAATTCTAGAATCAAGAAATTGTGTCCCTAGTAACCATAGCTTATTAGTAATGCCAAGTAATTTGTATAAGTATTGCTTGATTGGCTCAAACTCCTTCATTCTTTATAACTTGAACTCTCTCATTAAATTCAACACTTGCATGCTTTGAATCCTTTCATCTCCAACATATTCTTCCTTTAGGTAATTCAAGATTTTTTTTGGTGATTTGAGAGTTATGATCCTAGTAAAATATTTTGTGAGACACAAGCAAACAAACAACTCTTTGCCTTTGTGCTCGTGATTTTTTTCTTTTTGAATTTTCATTTTGGTTATAGTGGGATTGTTTGACAATGCGGAAACATGACTTCCCAGAAAATCTAAAGTCTCTAAGTATGTCTCCATTTTCACCGTTCAAAGATCATAGCTTTCTTCATCAAAGATAGATGAGAAAATTTGTGAAAATTTTGTTTTGACTTTCATCTCCACGAGTTGTAAGAATCTTGTTCTAGATAACAATGATGAGTTATTTTATAAAGATATATTTTTATCACATGAATAGGATCTAATTTTATTCATAAGATTTCTATTTATAGAAAAAAGTTATGATACAATAATCAAATATTGATGTTATTCTATTCTAAAAACAAGAAAATAAATTCTAAAATAATTAAAACTAATTAAACTTAAATATTTGAACATAAATAACAAAATTATTAAAACTAATTTATTCTTATTTAGGCATATTTCCGACTTATTGCTCTCATTATCATGCTGAAAGTTGGAGATCGAGTTGCTCCAGCTAGCACATATAGTTTGAGAACTAACATCCAACAATTGTGATATTGTGCTGGAACACACGGTTTGGGTTTGCAGTATTTGATGGTTTTGGAGCCAAGCATGATTTATTTTTTTATTGTTGCGGACTATAACAAATTATTAATTATGCGCATCTCACATTTTTATGAATAACAAAATAATGAAATGTTTTATAATTTAAAATTAGTTTATACCTAAGTTAAAAAGATAATTTCTTGAGAAATTAATATGATATTTTTGTTACAAATTA